AGAAACAGATATTGCAGACGTAAAAAATCCACTATATTCTTTAGCAAAAACTTCTCGATTCTTAAAATTCATAATTACACAGCATGATTGAGAATCAAAAGTAGAACAGATTCCCTGTAACGAATTTTACATGTTATTCGCACGTCAAAATATTATTGAAGATAAATCAATCGATAATCATTTCAAATCTAATAGTAATAAATCTGCAACCCCAAATAATACCTATATGAATTATCATAAAGGATATAGGTTAATAGAAGGTTTGGTTGAAAATATGATTTTAATACTTTATCACACACCAAGAGATTCACCAACTACACCACCAGAGAATTGTACTCGGGACGTTTACCATCTTTACAAAGATTGGCCAGGTTTAGACGAGATCAATAAAAAAGACCCTATGCTTTCATATGATCCCTTAGATCCAATGCAAGTTCAAGTTGTTTATAAAGACTTGAAAGATGTAGTCGATAACTTGGTACAATCAATCCATGAAAATAATGAAGAAACAAACCATCTGGAAACAAAATTAGTATATTATTTAGAAAGATATAATCAAATTTTGAATCCGTATGATCATAAAACCGTCATGAAAAAAAGAAAAATTAAAAAAAGAAAATGTGGAGATGGTGGTCAAAGTGTATCGGGTTCAAATGGTATGTATTTTAAAACTCATGTTTTAAGAACTTAAAGTAATCGGTTAAGTAATGAGAATTAAAATCATTTTATTCTAATGATCTTTAAACATTAAACTATTCCCATTAGCGTTAGTACAAAATTACGACTTATATTTAGATCCTAATACATATATGTTCTTTTTTTTTGTAGAAAAGACTGGTCATTTTCGTCGTCGTCGTCGTCGTGGTCGAAAATAAAACAGAATAAGAATCCTTTGGAAGTAAATATTTTATGATTTTGAAAATTTATTACTTTTCCGAAGTAAACCAATAAACATTTAAGTAGAATCGCTTTCTAAATTAGATTATATAGTCAACATTTCATGAACGCACCTCCTTGGAATATAGATGAGATTTAAATTGTGCATTGAAAGAGGATGCATTTATGGAAGATTGACTGTAATGCATTCTTTGTAAACATTGTTTTTCACAATGGAATTTTAGAACAATTCTACATTATTATACTGTATTTTTTACTTTTGTTTTCTATACTGATAATTCGAATTCGTCTGCAGGGGATGTTGTTGTCATTCTTAATTAGCAGGCTTTGTCATCCTTTAAATTGTAATAAAATATTTCAATTGTTTGGTATTTCAAAACCTATACGAAACAAAAGTAGTAAATGTTTAAGCGTACAAAACAAAAAAAGGATGCATATAGTAATATTTACAGTAAAAAAACAAAATAAAAATATGAAAAAATAAAATCTCAAGATCAAATGTTATTAATAATGCAAATCGTTTACGTATCTCAAACCATCACGTGAAACTGGCAAAGAGAAGACTCGAAGATTTGATTCTAAAAATCATGAAACCAAACTAGACCCTAACGAATCGGTTGGTTCAGGGTTGATAGGGTTGGTGTTTCGGATTGAGTCTGCGGAACACTAATTTTGGCATATCGGCGGATTTGCGGAATTTGAATGAATTGATCCTAAGTTGTATCCTTGAAATTATTCGCAATATGAACCCAAAATTTTGTAGCAAACAAATATATGTACATATAAAAATAATTTAAGGAGTAAATAGATACAATAACTAGAGATGGGCAAAATGCAGCATTTTGAAAAATTTCATGCAAATGCAGTTGGGAATCAACAGACTAAAAGAGTGTCATGTATCGCTAGATATACCTACAAATCGACAAAATTCATACCGATTTTTTTCCTACCCGAATCAATACAAACACCAAGATACAATCATAGAATTTACATATGAAGGAAAACTTGTAGATCACAAGCTTTTTTTGAAGAGCCATAACAAAATATGGGTGAAAAATTATTGTTAAGTTTGCGTGGCAGTATAATCGTAGGGCACACAAACTATATAACGAAATTGGCAAAGCACCAAAATTACTCTACATTGGCAAAGAGATGATGGACGGTTTCTATATGGTAGCGATGGATTAAATTAAGGCTGAACCACTTTATAACTGTAGCTCACTTAGTTGTGATGAATATAAGGCAATTTTAAGGGATGTCAAAGAAGCTATTGACAAATTGCATGAGGAAAGTATTGTTTTTGCTGACCTCCGTGATTCCAACATTCTAGTTGACAAATCTCAAGGCCGATATAAAGAAATGTTAATAGATTTCTATTGGGCCAGTAAAGATGAAATCGAGTGCTATCCATCTTTTATGAATCAAAAACATATTAATTGGCCACCAGGGGCTGAGGATAGGAAGAAGCTGAGTCGAAAACATGATGTTTATCAGTTAGAGCTGTTGAAAGCTAAATGCTTGGGTAAGAGTGTAGATCTAGAATAATTAGTTAGTATGATATTTGAGGTTAAAGCGGAAAACAAACAATTATGTATAACAAGCTATGTATGTATTCAATATAATTTTGCTTTTAATGATATAATAATAATCGATTCTCGAATTAATCATATTCATATGTTTTGGAAATATTGTATGCCAAGAATTAAAATATTTATTACCTATTCTATTATTATGAATTTCAGCTGAAAATTTTAATTTTTGATTATTATAGAATTCATTTTAGGGTAGAAATTAGTCGGGTTGGGTAATTTTAATGTATATATTTATTATTTGAACAAGTTTATGCATACATCCATAAAAGTATATTCTATAGGCCAAAAAGATGCCCTTATGATTAAGAGTTATTTTTAACAATACTAGCAAGTCGATAAAATTTATAGTAAGTTTTCAGCAATGATTGAGATAAAATTTTGCGTTTTATTTTTTTTTTGCAGTACAGATAAAACTGACCTCAGTTGCTGATTTCGCATATATAATCTACTGTATTGTTATCGATGTATATTAACTTGTATATGAAGAAAATATATATCTTCATGATAAAAGAATTGAATATATCTGTATTTTATATAAAAAATGGCAAATATATAATCTAAAGACGACTTGTTGAGAGAATTGAATTATAAGCTTGATAAACTTAGAAAGGAGAATACAGAAATACCTGAACTTAAAAAAAGAAAATTAAAACTGAGAATATAAAACTTAAAGCAAGCTTTAAAAGAACATGAAATCAGAATCACGAATTTAGAAAAAACTGTTATTAATGTTTCACAACAGGCAGAGAGAAAAGATGAATTCTTGAGTTTATAGCTTTTCTCTGATTTGTCTACAGTAAATTCTAATAATACTCAATATCTTCAGAAGATAAACCGATTGATGAGTTTCTAGATCAAAAAGAAAAAGAAAGGTTATTAGTATGATAAGAGAAAGAAATAAGAAAAAGAAGCTTCAATGTAAACTAACCGAATATTGATCCCAGAACTTAATTTCAGTTATTTTTATATCTCCAGAGCAAAATATCTAAACAGAAAAGAAAAATGCCAAGAAATCTCCATCATGAAATGTGTCAATCAACAAAAAGAAAAATACGAAGAGAGTGAGTTTACAAATTGTAACATTTATAAGAAGCCTGATAAGATTGAACCCAGCAAAAGTCAGCATATAGAACAAGGGTTAACAAAAGAATTACTCAGTAGCCACTATAGTTGTTAGACGAAACCTTGAGGTTTTGTGTTGATGAATTGTGAAACCTAGTTTTGTCTTTCGTCAATTAAAAACTTAAATAACAAAATGATAAAATTGACAAAATGTAACGAAACTGACGAAAGTGATGATACTAATAAAAGGTGACAAAACTAATAAAAGGTGATGTGATGAAACTAATGAAATTGCAAAGGGTGAAAAAACTAATACCGTAAAAGCGCGAAATAATGCCCAGGGGCAAAATTAGAGACCCTAAAATAGCATATGTAACCTCAAATTAACGCGCAACCCTATAAATAAATATAGAAAAAAATAATAGTAATAAAAATAATAAAATAAAAAGTGCTCCGGAGCTGGATTTAGTATTAATTAACTCTATTTTTTGGCTTGATAAAAGTTGTTCTTCAGGTAGAGACGATACTAATTGTAAAATCATCAAAAACGATTCAATAGTTCGCCGCAATGGCACTTCAAAATTTTGTAACGTTTTACCTTTGTTTGCATGATTTGCAAAGAAACGTTGCAAAATTTTGAAGAACATTACGGGTAAACTACTGGACCATTTTAATGATTTTACTACTGTTAGAATCGTCTAGATCTGAAGAATAACTTGTTAATGCTAAAAAATATGTTTACTTAATGCCAAACCCAGTTCCAGAGCACTGCTTAATTCTTATTATAAATAAATGGACTTCACCAACATTCATTTTGTAGACACAATGCTTCACTGACATGTTTATTTTACAAACAATAAATTCACAGACAAGTTTACTTAATAGACAGTTTATTTACCTACAAGCTCATTTCGTAGACAGTTTTTTCACTGACAGCTTATTTCACTGAAAGGTTTTTTCTTATAAATTTAACCCTAGTTCTAAACTAACCCTAATAACATTACTTTGTCTGTGAAATGAGCTGTCGGTGAAAAAGTGTCTACTGTCATTGAAATAAACTTTCTATCAAGTGATTTGTCTGTGAATTAATTGCCAGTGAAGTGTTGTGTCCATAAAAGGAGTGTCGGTGAAGTAAGAGAAACCGAAATAGATACTATATAATTAGGGGTGCGAATTCAATCTTTAATTCAAAATAATGCACATGCGCATACTCGAAATAACGCGCAGGTGGACGTTATTTCGCGCTTGTACGGTATACAAATAAATGGTGTTGAAACTCATTGAAGATTATGTTTATAAAAAATAACAGAAATTTAAAAATTACATTGTGTAATAGGCGCTTGGATTGTTTAAAGGGAGTTAAAAAATACATATTCTATATTGTATTATACTAATATAGTATATTAGTTCTAGTAAGAAATTGCTTGGTGCTTACTTTGTGATCTTACAAATTTAATTTGTACCAGTAAGTATTTGTGTTATTTCATAGGTACTATGTTTTTTTAACAAGTTTATTTCAACCAGTCTATAACAACCCTAGCATTATCTAGAAAATGAACTGGATTATTTTGCTAGTATACATATAATTTCGGATACTGATCTCTGTATAAATTATGAATGTTAATTCAATGAAAATAACAAATTTATTTTTTAGATGGGGTGCTAGAGTTTCGTCTTTCTGAGTATAAGGTTTCGTTATTTTAAATTTAAGGGTTCGTCTTCCGTCAGAAGAATTTTGAGTTTCAGCTTTCGTTAGAGGTTTTGTCTTTTGAGGGCTTAGATTTTGTCTTTTATCATCATGCGAAAAAGATTTCGTCTAACTACTATAGC